CTAGCAACCTCTCTTGTTAGTCTTTATACATAATTATAAGATTCTCTTAAATATTCTGTGTAATCATAATACTGTGAATAACATCTTTATTCTTTATTTTCAGCCTTTTTATCTTTCTTATTGTACTAGCTATAATGTCCAATATAATATTGAATAGAAGTGGTAACAATGAACATATTTGCTACCAAACTCTTTCACTAGATTCCACCACCTCTTGTTTTCAGCTCTACTTTAAGGTTAATTATCTTGTTATATTACACTAATCAAGAAGTAGGTCACCCCAGGACCCTGCTGACCCAGACCTCCTTATATAAGTATGCAGCTCCTACTAACCTCATTCAATTAATTGCACTTAACAAAGTATTCCAACCATCCATAGGCATTTCATTTGGATGGTCCACTATTCTTTCAGGTACAATGTATCTGAAGTGATTAAAAATCTTCCTGTATATTTATGTTCTTTAAAAGCATTACCATCCACCAAGGCTCAATAGTCAGAAACTTACATTTTTTTCTCAATTTCCACATCTAATTTGTCATCAGTCTTGTCAGTTCTAGATTCTAATTATCAGCCAAAGTATTCTCCCCTCTCCATTCCCAACACCAGTGATTGGCTTGAGCCCTCAATATCTACCACTTTGACTACAGTAACAGTTTCCTAATTGTTTTCCCTGACTTTCATCTCAATTTTTGCCTATCATTCTTCTCACTGCTGCCAAGTTTATCTTTCTAAAACACAAGTCTGATCATGTTTGCCAGGTTTAAAACCCTTCACTGGCTTCCCATTGTTTACTGTATAAAGTCTTATTTCTCCAGCTGGTCATGCAAGTCCTTTATTTATGCTAGCTAGCTCTCTAACATACTTTCCTACTGATCCCCACCCTGTGCTATGTCTAGCAAATCTGAAGTGCTTATAGTTCAGCTATGTTATTTACTGGTACCATAATTTTTTTACACATGCTGTTCTCTTTGCTTGGCTTACTCTGACAAAGTCTTATTCATTTTAAACCAAGCTCACAGCTCACTTCCTTCAAGAACTATGGATAAAGAGCTCAATAAACATTTATCAAGCACTACCTATATGCCAGGTACTATGCTAGATGCTAGGCGTACAAAGATGAATAATATATACAGGTGCACCTCAGGAGGATTGGTTTCAGAACCCCCACCCCCCTTCATCCCAGATATTAATATTCGTGGATGCTCAATTCCCTTAATTGACCTTCCATATTTGTGGGGTTTTGTTCGTTGAATCTGCAGATGTGGAACGTTGGATACTGAGGGCTGACTGTATTCCAAATGTTGCAGTATTAGGTAGTACTTTCATTTCCTGCCTCCCTTTAGCTTTAGCTACCTGGGGCATGATTTTTACTTACATGTTTGTTTCTTTTCTTTCTCAATTCTTGATTAATATACATACAGATGAACAAATAACACATTATTCTCAAATACAGATGCACATGTGCATATAGATGCAGTATTCAGAAACATTTATGGACACAATTTCAACTAGCAAGTGTGATTATAAATGATGAGATTATAAACTCAGAACTTTGTGGTTAGACTCTGGACCAGTCAACACAAAGAAGTATAGTATGGTTAGGGTAGTGTATGCTCTGAAGGCAGATGGCCTGTGTTTACATCTCAGCTCTGGTACTTACAAGTTGGGTGACCCTGAGTAAGTAACTGAACTTCTGTGCCTCAAGTTTTTGAACTGTAAAATGAGGGCCATGACAGTCCCTGCCTCACAGTGTCGTTGAGAGAATTATTGAAGTTAATACAAAAAATGCTTAGAAAACACTTAGCACAACATGTGTTTAATAAATGGTAGTTTCTATTATTGCTTTGTATACGAGTACACTTTGGTTTCAGTCACTATCGCAGGTCAAGTGATTTTTACTTCTATATATATCAATGGAAGAACTGTTTGTTGTTCTGAGCCAAATGTGTACCCTTATCTAATTTTTAATGAACCAATAGCATATGATGGCACAGAGATTGGACCAGAACTCATGGCAGTGGAATGGAACATCCTTTACGTAAAGCTAAATGACATATGTGGAAAGTAACTGCATTAGCACACACTGATAGAGTCAGTTAGGTGTAAATACAGATCAAGGCATAGATATGTGAGAGTGTATGGTGTAAATAGCTAAGAGCACAAGGTCTGAAATCAGACTACCTCACATAGATTCATAACTCCACCACTTGCTAGTTTTGTGACCTTGGACAAGTTACTTCCTTGTACCTCAGCTTTCACATCTATAAAATATAATTAACACTTACCTTATAAAGCTATTGTGGGAATTTAATGAGATAATACATGTAAAGTACAGAGAACATTGCTCAGTGCATAATACATAAGTGGTGGAGAAAAAAAGATGCATGTAGTAGACAGAGAAACATATAAAGTTAACCATAAAATGTTCACTCCAAGGGAAGCAATGGAGGTAGATGTTCAACTGAATAAGTGATCCACAAGAGAAAATAAAAAAATTCTAATTCTCCTGCACTTGGATAACCTTTGTTAAAGTCACTTTTTGTCTCCAACATATCCCCCCCAATTATGTTTAGTTTAGAACACCAGGATTTCCCAAATTACGTCCCATGAAACATCTACCCTGAGATATGTGTGGGGGGAAAAAAGGTTTTGTGGTTGAATAATGCTGAGAAATATTCCCTTGGAAATTCAAATGTACACTAGCATGCTAAGGGTTCAACAAGTCCTGAAAAAATGTGTTATTTAGTTTAATCCAGCATTTCTTGAATTTATTTGATCACAGAACCTTTTCCCCATATACTATGTATTAACATTCCACGAAACTACTGTTCCATGAAATAAACATGGAGAAATGCTGGCTTCAATGAACATTAAAATGACCTTTATACCAAAGCAAGGGCTGAGGGGCACTGGGAGGTAGGTGTGGGAAGGAGAGGGTTTGTACTTTTTTAGACTGGGATTGAAAATTTGCCCAGAACAATTCTTCACTAAGCCAGCAACCAAACAAATCCCTCAGTGTCACGAACACTCAAACACATACAATGTTCATGGATCATGTGCAGGGTCTCTGGAGGGGGTAGGGGAGCACCCTCCCTCACATTGTATCCCGGTGCTGCTGTACTGGGATCCCACCATGGAAGATCTAAAGGCTCCTAAACGTACTGTACCATCTGCCCCTGGCCATGACTTCCTGAATTTACTTCCTATTTTCTGAAAGAGAAGAAGCTACAAGAAAAACATTTAAAGTGGAGAGGACCAATTAGGGAACCAGAAGACAGACCCAGGAGTGGAGGGGAAGAAGGGAAGATGGAGGGAACGGACTGTGTTGAGACAATCAATCAGATTAAGGACAAGAATCATCTTCTGGGTGGAGGTGAGATGAGGGACACCAGTAACATCACTGAAGAGGACCCTTCAGAGCAGAGCAGAGCAGAGCAGAGATACACTTAAGAGAAATACTACTGACTTCTAAGGTCAGTGAACAGAATGGAAACTTCCTGAGGCGCAGAGACCATGTTAAACTCATTTTTATAATTCTTTTTTGGAGGAAAAAGATGGTGGCTAGGAGGGAGGAGAATTGTGTTTGTTACAGGGGGGGAGCATGATGAAAAATCCCTGGTAAGGGAGAGGTGTATAAAATGGCTTGCTATTTACATTGACCACTGTATAGGTGATTTTCCAAATTAATGTTGTTGGTTGGTTGGTAGGTTGGTTCCTGAAGGCAAGTGTGCCTTCCTCCTGTTTTTCTTTTCCCCTCTCTGTGGGTTCCTGCCAAGGAAGAAGGAGAGACAAATTATTACCCTCAGTGGCCTGCTGTAAGGAGACCTAGAATCTTTGACGTTGGGGGGGCTGAGGTCTGGGAGGGGCTGCTGGGCTGCACGCAGGCTGGGAAATAATAAAAAGGAATATACCAACCTTAACAATACCTAACTATCAGTGTTGGGAGCAAGAATTTTCCTTATTTTCATTAATTTATATTTTCCTAACTTTTCTATAAGAAACATGTGTTACTTTTATAATTGTCGAAAATTAAGTTTATTTCTCTAGTTCATACCCTTTGTCCTTAGTTTCTAGAAAATGTGACTACACATCATGTGTAAACTTCATATTAAGCGTGTTTTAAGTGGGGGGG